CAAACTAACAACAATGGTGCATACCCTATGAAGCGTCTTTTCCCCTCTCGTCTGCAAGAGTTTAAGGAACAAAATATCTCAGCCAAAAATAGCTGGAACGAGATCCACATGCTTGTCTAATATTTTGAATAAATCAACCACTGACACATCTATATGCCCTAGGGCCTTTGGGAATATGACTAGCCCATAAATACCCATAACAAACAGGTCTATCTTCTTTCTCTTATCGGGATGACGATCAATTACCTCTTTAAGAGCAATCCATATGATGCATTCACTATATCATTTCTTCTTAATGCTTCTAACGACCCACTCTTCACTTATTTCAGTAATCAAAAGTAGTTTCTTTTTAAAAGATAAAGTGTTTAGTGGTTTGGTGTATACTCTGTCCACTTGGAATCTCAGACAACAAATCAAGGCATAATACTCCTCAATGATAGGTGTTATATCTACTCGGCCAAAAGTAAAGTAGCTATAGGTGGGGTTCTAGAACTGCGCAAGAGCTATAAATAGATTTCAGTCAATCGGCATGTCTAGGAGATAGGAAATGTCGCCATAGAGTTGATAGAACAATAACTTGTCGATTGCTTCTCATCTTCCCCAAATCTCTTTTAGCTCACTCAAATCATTTTAACAGACATTGATGTGGGTATAACCAATCAAACCTGACATGTACCCAGGCTGTAAGTTATCTCCATTGGTGAGTTGGGACTGCTCGGACCATCTCAGAACATCTGCATTGTCTTCTACCTCTTTTTTGACCCTTCGTTCCATATTACTAGCCTTCTATATAAACATCGATCATGGATCAACACCATGGAATGAATAGTGAAATACAAAAAGGCAAAAGAAAATTAGTCAATAATCATAAACAAATCAATCGGGTATAATATAGTTTGTCAATAAAGCCTACCTTCACATGTTGGCTACCCAATCAAGCTTTAGCAGATCCTACCGAAACATGATTTCTACCCCATACTTATTCGGATGCTGATTCGAAAAAATAAACCTAACCACATGATCTCTCTAGTTCTCATATATTTATTCGGAAAGCAAAATTATACTACAAAAATTAAAAGGCTCAAAAGAGCTTTTCCTTGTGTACCCTTCTCACGGGATTCTTAAGGTTTGGGTTAGGCTCTACCTAGGTTCGGGTTCTAGGTTCACTATATGTTGGGTTTGGTTCTAAAGTAAAAGGTTCTCGAATTATCGTTGTCGATGCCCCATTGGGCTGCCAGACCCTCAATCCTGGCCCATCACAGGCTTTTGGATCGAGTTCAATTTGAGGGAACACACCTTCTTATGTCCATACGGAGGTGAAAACCTTCATAAGAACCATAAGGCGTGAGCCCCAAGAATGATCCACTATCCATATGGAGGTGAAAACTACACGAGGGAGTAATTTCTCACTCCTACTTAAATAGGTCAGAGCGAGGTTTTAGCTCATGTTATGATAATGCAAGTGCATAGTGTGTGAGGAAAAGCAAAAAAGCACACAATCACACAACACATGAAACTCATTTCTTAATTCCCTTAAAGACACATTCAATCTGAAAACATTTGCAAACAAATCAGTCCAACTTTTTAGTGGTTAATCAATTTTCAAACAACAAATTTATTTTAAACTAACAAAGGATCATGAATTAAATTAGAATGAACTTGTAATTTTTATTGCAAAGACAATTAGCTAATTGACTAATGGCCTAACTCTAAAAAAAATTCCCCGGCGGAGTCTCCAAGCTGTCGAAGCGATTTTTTTCTTAAAAAACAAATGATTTAATTTTAAATAATTGATTAAGTGTATTTTTAAAAAAAATCGTTCGGAGTCGATTACGCGTGGGGAATGATTAGTACCCCCACAGTCCCCTAAATCGGTACCTAGTTGATTAATTAATTGTCTTTGCAATGAAATTTACGAGTTTGAATTGAATTTAATTTAATTTAAGATCCCTTCAGAGAATATTCTTTGAATTTTAGGACGAAAAATGACAATATTTATTTATTTCCTATGAGAAGAAAATACATTTCATTCCTTAAAAAAGTCGATTCTCACTCCAATCGAAATAAAGAAATATTACAATTCCATTCTAAAATTCATTATTAATTTAAATTGCACGAATAATGATAAATAAAATAAAACAAATTAAATTAAATTAAAAATGACTAATCCTTTTTAAAAAGAAGAAGGATATTCGATTATTTAAAGACGTTGAGATTAGACCTTTTATAAGTTCTAACGATCTTTTCTTTTAGAATTTAATTAGACGAACATTTCTTTTTCTCTCGTTCCCAAATTTTATGCATAGTTAGATTTTTAGGGTTTCACTTAATGAGATACACTTTCATTTTAAAATTATCAAAACTGACTTTCTTATACGTTAAGACAGTCACTTCACAACGACTTTAAAATGAAAAGGTATTACCCTTAATCCAGTTATTTGATTGAATCGAGTGATGCCTATGAGGATATCATACATATCATGCCAAAATGATGTCATGTGTTCCATAAATTGTCCACTTACTTGCATATTAAAGTGATAAGTAATATTTTTATTTAGACTAAACAAAATATATATGCGCACATCATATCTTTTTGAGTACAAAAATGAAAATAACAAAAATTAAATGGGTTAAATGAGCATGTGTCCCCTTTTGTTCAGCCAAGGCGGTCGTCGTGGCTGTTATTGTTCAACACCCTCGATGAGGGGCTAAAGAAAACCCAACAATCCTCCTTTCGAAACCTGAATCCCAAAAATAACCAAGAGACTCAAGAAAAGGTTACCTCCAATGACTCAAAAAAAGGCCTTCTCGGGTGAATATAGACCGTTGGATCATTGATTGGATCCAACGACAGTAACAAATTGGCGGCTGCAACAACATTCTAGGGTAAACAAACCCTAGATCATACCTAATATGAATCGATGGACCGGTTCTTTATCTGACGGTTGAGGCTCGACGGTATTGGGACTTGATGGAATCTAGGGTTTCTATAAACCCTAGCAGCTTGGGCTGTTGGATTTGGACTGGGCGGTTACATCTTAGGCCTTGTGTGTTGATTAGGTGTAATATTTGGGCTTGTAACCAAAATTAATAAAGTGTTGAATATTTAGTTTTTAGTTTTTAGCTTACATGTATATATATTAGACTATAATCGTATACACATTGCATACATATAATAATATAACTATTGAGATATATACTTATAATAACAATATATATATATATATAAAGCGATTAACCATACAATTATATAAGTAATAATATATATATATATAAACACTCACATAATTAATATTAATAACTAATAATTAATCCTTATATAACTAGTAATAGTATCATATATGAACCTATATAACATACTACATGCATATAACTAAATAATTAACCTAATAATCTCTTATACTTAAACTAACTAATACGATATATATATATATATATAAACAGAAATGAAAACTCGAATGAAATTTTCGGACAAAATGAGCATCTACGCATTGTATGTGCAGATGGTGGAGTGTGGCTTGGACGAGTCCAAGTACAATTGAAAAATTATTGGAATTTTACTTCTATGCCCTTTTAAGAAGAGAGACCAAATCTATTTGGTTTATTTTTGTTGTTTTGGCACTTTGGAAATCAAAAAAGGTCCACTATTGAATGGTAAAAATTGATGGGAGAATCCATTGGACTGTCTGGAGGCTGATTGCAAGATGAACAATTCGATTTCAAGATGGTTACTTCTAATGGTCGGTCAATTGAAGTTCAACGTGGATGGGGCTGCCAAAGAGGAAGCTGCTAGCTGTGGGGGAATTCTTAGAACAAAATCAGATATTGTTATAACTATGTTTTCGAGACCAACACCTTGTTTAGGGTCAGACTAGACAGAAGTATTAACAATAAAATCGCTCTTGAGATATTTGTGGAGGCGAATTGGACCAAAAAAGCTTAATTGACTATAAAATTTGATTTTCAATCAGTCTTGTATTGGATCTCGACTATAACTCTTCGACCTTGGAAGTAGTGGTATCTTTTTGATGATATTGATCTATTGGTGTTTAAAATTATGAGAGTTCAGTTTGTCCATGCTCCAAGAATAATGAACACCATGACAAATCATTTTACTAAAGTGAGAAATTTTTTAACTATACACATAATCTAGATTCAAGCACTTATGTAATTAAATAAAATAAAATTTATCAAGAAAAAATTGATTATCTATTTAATTTAATAATAAAAATTTAAAAAATATATTATAAAACATTTATACTCATTCGATAATATAATTTATTTTTATTTTGAAAAAAATCTTTTGAATAGTAACAAATGACTGTAAGGTAGTGTCTATGCAATAATTTTTTATTTATTGAAAATTCACTTATCTTGTAAATATAACTACTCAAATTTAAAAAAATTATCGTTAATATACTGAACAAAAATCCATTTTTTGATTTATTTCATCTATTCCATGACCAGAACAGGGGGATACACGTTACACCAAGATGAAGAGAGATTTCAAGAAATGGCAGATCTATTCACTCTATCAATAACCGAGCCGGATCTGGTGTATCATAAGGGATTTACCTTTTCTATTGATTCCTACGGAAACTGCACTTTTAAAAATAAATTGTATTAAGATAAACCCACGTGTATACACAAGATGGAATTAGCATCCAACTTTGCCTTTTATGACCACAAGACAAGACTTTTCTTCGTTGACGGAAAAAAGGCAAAAGCTGGCTTTTGTCATTTCAAACCGGCAATTCAACAGTACTTTCCACTTTCCAGAAGCCACGCACAAAGGAGAATAAACGAAGAGAAAGATAACTCGCAAAACGTAATAACAAATTCAATAAAAGACCAGATCATGAAGGGATCATGCAAATATAAACAAATATTTTTTGAGTATCCAACAAAGAAGAAAAGAAATACAAGTACAAATCATATTCTATTAATTCTTCTTGAAAGCTATACATATATACGATATGAGCCTATTAGTTTGGTTACCTCTATAGTTTTGTAGAAGGTGAAGAAATGATGTGAATAACAAGGCCGGGGAAAACATCATCAGGGTCATTGATGTGAGGGTTACGCTCGACGATGAAAGGGTCGTCGCACTTGTCGCTGATTGTGTGAAGGGTCTCACCTTCTCCTACCACGTAGATTTCATCACAGGGTCGTCGGCTTAGGAGCTGCCTCCCTTTCACATCTGCAGCTTCATCTGATAAACAGTTTGCCCCGACCGAGCCAATCAATATTAAAGCCAACAACGCTACGGTACAGTACCACGAGGCTGCATGAACTGGAGCCCAAGGTTTCTTCATGCTATGGGTTAAAGTTATAGTTGGGAAGAAGGAGAAACAAAGAGAGATGATTTTTTCCTTGTAGTCTTGATGAAACAGATGGAATAATGGAGGAATACAATTAGAAGAAAAACATACAAGGGCTTTTTATACCCTACTTATATCGATGCTTTCAGTTGGTAGGAAGTTGAGGTCAACCGTCAACGGCAGCCGAAATGGAACGGGTATTTAATATATATGTGTGTGTGTGAGAGAGAGAGATAAATCATTTAAAATATAAATATATGGTACACCAGAGTTCTTTGAACTATGATCAAATGATTGTTTCCATCATAAAATTTTGGAAATTACAAATAGTCATCAGGTTTATTGAACTATTACATTTAATAAATTGTTACAAAATAAATTATTAAATTTATCGAATTATTACATTTATTATAAAGTTTCAATGACCATTTTGTAAGAGTTTGATGAATTTAATGATCATTTTATAATTTTTAAAAATTCAATGATTAAAATGATCGTTTAAGTATACTTTAGTGACATTTGATATACTTTACTAATTATTATTATTATGGTTATTATTATTGATATGTATAAATTTATATAATATCATTACATCAAATATAAATTCAATACAAAATATAATATAAAATATTATAAATTGAATAAATTATCCGTCTTCGATATATTATCAACATATAGATTGATACACTAAGAATAAAATATGTACATCTTGTTAAAAACCCTTTTAAACCTAGTATAAATAATTAACCTTTTAAGATTTAGTTATATTTTTTTAACTATTAACATGTTATTATACAATATTAGTACATTAAACATAAATTCTTTAATAGTTAATGGGATAGTAATTCAATTGTAATCATGTTGCTGTAAATTTAAAAGATCATAAGTTATAGTGTACTCAAATATAATTGTCTTCGAATATAAAGATCAAGAGTTATGTGTAATTTAAATATTATAATTTGTACTTTCAAATAAACATAATTCTTTAATTAATATTAGGTTTTAAAACACGCGTGATGCAAGTGAAATAAAATATTTTATGTAAAAAAGTATATTCATCAACATTTACTTAATAAACGATATAAGGTAGAAAGATAATATTTTATGTAAGTGATTAATATTTTAAACACTTTATTACGTTTACCTTAAAAAACAATTTATTATGTTTCTGTTGATACGGTTTACGAATAAAATAACATGACTTGCAGCATACATCAACAAATTGATTTGTATAATAGCAATATTTTATAGGGTTCTTTAGTAAGGAATTTACCAAAAAGGGCATTGATGTTAACGAGTGTAATATTTAATTATACATGTCAACAATTTAGATCACATATAGATTGCTCTGCCTACTACCTTATTATTATATTGGAATTGTAAAATATGATGCAATTTGTGAGCAACATCGCAACCGATAATGTAGTTTTCAATCTCCAACCGCATAGCTATTTTTATCGGAATGGTAACCATTTTTTTTAGAAATTAAAAATTATTATATATTTTATTTTTTATATGTTATTTTTGTTGAGAGTCTGTTTTCAGTATTTTATAAATTTTTTCATTTTTAAAATTTTAAAAATTCATATTAATAATATAAAATCTTACGTCTTTATCCACTTCTCATTAGACTTCTCAATTATTTAATATTAATTTATTGCATACAAATTTCCCTTATTAATGTATATTTTGAAATGACTCATGCTTGTTTAGAAAATATATATTGTTTTCTTTTCTTTTTTTTTTATCAAACTTGAGTTATATTGGAAAGCTTGTTTTATCATTAGAATATAAATTTAAGCTTGTTCTATATATATTTTTGAAGTACTTGTATACAAAAAATGTTGAAGGGGTTTCCTTTAGATATTAGGTAAAATATAATTATCATTCCAACTTCTAATAATCATTATTGAAAGTTAAAACTTGTCATTAGTATAAAATTAAATGAGTTTTTGCACATCTTTATAAATTTTTTTATGATTAATATTTTAACAATCTAATCACTGAATTTGATATTTTATTAAATAGATTGTACATATCAAATTTCTAGTTGAATGGAAATATTTAACTATTTATTTTATGTAAGAATATTTCAATTGTAAAATATATATTAATAAAGATCATACTTTAGATAAATATGATAGAAATATCATATTGATTCAAAGATTTACATGCATAATAAATAAAATTGTACTAAGATTGAACTGTTCAAATATTAATTGTATATGTAGAAATTTTCTGTTGGGAGATTCAACCACGAAATTTAGGTTTGCAGCCCAAGTCGGTCTGGATTAGTCAACTAGGAGGGAAACCAAAAAAAAAATACTAATTGTATAAAATCCAATGAAAATATATAAAACTCACTTAATTTTGTTTTAATATAAATTGATCCCTCTCTAGATATATTGTTTTATGTTTTTTTATCAAACAGTTACATTAGTAGGACGTTACGTATTAACAAGAATTAAAAAAAATCGAGGAAGCAATTGTGGCCGTCTCAGTGTGTGCCTTTGACAAAATTCTATAGTCCTCAAAATCCCAAATTTAAGGGACCAAAAGTGGATTTGAATTTTGAAGTTTTGTTGGAGTCTTAGCGTGCTATAGTGAAAATGGCCAAAACTGACCATCCAAGCACAGCAATGACCAAGTCGTTCACCCTTTTCAATGTTTTTGGATGTTCAAAAGCCATCACTCTCACAATTCATAATTGAAAACGTCTAATTGGGGTCATGTTTTTAGGCTTTCTTATGGTTTGAGGGCGTTATACTATTTTAGAGTTAATTGCATCATATATCCCTAAAATATGATCCTTATTTTAAATTGGTCCTTAATTTTTTAAACATTTTCATTTTATCCCTAAACTATTACTCTCATTCTAATATAATCCTTAAACTTTTAAACATTTCAATTTTATCCCACAAACTATGGATCTCATTCTAAATTAGTCCCCAAACTTTTGAATCTTTTAATTTCATCCCTAAATTTATCCAAATATGTAATTCGTTTCAACAATAGATTAATTTGTTTTTAAAAAACATATAATAATATAACTTGGCCTAACGATTTTATTAACAAGGTATATGATTAGTATATACGTATAATTTGGGATTAAATTGAAATGTTCAAAAAGTTTGGGGATGAAAATGAAATGTTCAAGAGTTTGAGGATTAATTTAGAATGATAGTCATAATTTAGGATGAAATTAGCATGTTTAAAAGTTTAGGGACCAATTTAGAATGATAGTCATATTTTATTTAGTTGATTGCTTTATTTTATGGGTAAAGTATACAAATGGTCCCTCAACTATAGGACAATGTTTTCTTGAGTCCCATGAACTTTGTTGAGTCCCCGACTATTAAAAGTTACAAAATAATCAACTGACTATTCCAATGTACTAAACTCCTCCTTTTTTCGTTAAAAAAAGAACGATCGTCTGAGCTGAACATTAACTTGTTGATTGTGATATAATAAAATCTGATCATAAAACTGTTTGAACTATATTTTCAGTATCTACTCTCCATTTACATTATGTCATCGAACTAATACTTGAAGCATTATGTCGTTGAGCCAATATTTAAAAGCAATGGTGGTGCCAATAGTTATCATTAAGATATGATTTTATCATATCTTAGTCAGCAAATTAACGTCGAGCTCAGACGATCGTTATTTGTTTAACGAAAAATGACAAGTTTGGAACATATAAATAGTCGAGTGATCATTTTGTAACTTTAATAGTCAGGAGGCTCAATAAAGTAAAGTCATATAGTCGGAGGCTCAACATAACTATATCCTTATTTTATTTAGCGGAAATTAGGGGTGTAAATGAATCGATCCTGAATTAATAAGGTTATGTTCGTGCCCGTTTGATTATTTTTGAAGGTGTTAATATTCAGTTCATGTTAGTTTAAATTTTTAATATCATATTCGTGTTCATTTATCTTTTTGAAGGTGTACATGTTCATTTATTTATTGTTCGTGAACATTTTCGTTTAATGTTTGTGAATGTATTCATTTTTATGTTCACGAAATTGTTCATTTAGAATTCACGAATATGTTCGTTTAGAGTATGTTTAGTGTTCATTTAGGATTCGTTTAGTGTTCCTTTAGCATTCATTTATTGTTCGTTTATATGTTATTTTTTTAGTTTTACCCTTCCATTTACAAGCTAAAGAAAAATGATAAATTTACGCTATTAGTTCTTAAGCGCCTTAAAATTCATATTTTAAATTTCAACTTTTACCATATGTTTAATTTAGCTCATACCTTAGCCAATATTTTAAAATGAAAAAAAAATAAAATGAAAAGGAGAACCGGATAAACAAGATTGTTCATGAACATTAATGAACGAGTTGCTAAATGAGCTTGTTTGTGAACATAAACAAATTGAACACACCTCTGTTTGTGCTTGTTTATTTATTAATAACATAAAAATTTATTCATACTTGTTTGTTAAACTTAATTTTGACACCCATTTTTTCCCAGACCGTTATTACTATTATTATTATTATTTTATTTATTACAGGCCCGATTACAGCTTAAGGCCCAACAACCCAAATCCGGTCCAAATTACAAAGTTTACAACAAGCACCCAAATCGGGCCCAACAGTAAAGCCCAAATGACCCGAAGCCCCAATATTCGACCCAGTTTGGTCACCCACTGCTAACACTGTGCTGCCACGCCTGCCACCACCTTCCCGTGCCCATATTGCTCCATCTCCCCAAAACCATTGTAGCACTCTACGTAACAAATCAACAAAAATAAGTTTTTATTCTAACATTTAATGAATTATAAAGGAACTCAAAAACAAATTGTAAGGGATGAGTGGGCTCAGTTTTCTGGAAAAAAAGAAGAAGAGGGAAATCCGGTTCGAAAAGAAAATGTAAAAACCCCTACTTTTCGGTTTTCAGAGAAAAAACAAAAAAACAAAAAAAACAAGATTCAAGGATTTTTTATATTTCTCTCTCTCTATATATATTCTTTCGAAAGAACAAAA